AAACTGAAATTGTTACTATTTTAACCTACGTGTTCTTATGATGTTGATTTTAAAATGATGATCTATGATGATGTTTTTAATCTATTGTGATGATGTTTGTATGCTAATAATTGTAAAATGTCAATGCAATTCAGACGTGCCCGAAGCACTTCGGCACGTCTGCCATGTTGATATTCAATAAAGATTTGTTTTGATTTGATTCTTGGGTTATGCTATTTACAGACAGACAGACAGACAAACAAGCGGACAGACGGACAAACGCTACTGAAAACATAACCTTGACGAATGTAATCAATGAAATATAACTGTGTATTACTGTGCGAGGATTTTAGTGTTTATTTCAAATGACAGTAGATGTGATTCTTTAAGTGACACATATACAGTAGCAGTTATCTATCAGATACATTGTTTAACCATGAGCACTAGGTGATGAATAGGAGACCATACCGTTGTTGATAGCCCGAACTTTGACCCATGCAGGTATCCCATCAGGTATGTGGAAGTTGACAGACGTGTGAGTCGTGTTGCCATGACGATACCAGTCCATCATGTGTACGTCACGTTTGCTCCGTCCGAGCCCAAAGTCAATCTCCCGGATGTCAGATAGAGGATCACTATTTATATCAAAGTATAGCAATGGATAAACTCACTTCGTTCACTGACAGATTGTAAGTCTAACCAAAAACAGGAGACCACTTTATAATTACTACATTTTATCTGGAATTTATTTATTTATTGATCTTAAAAACGGTTGGGTGGTACTTTTAGTTTAAGACAACTGATTACCAAGGTAGCCCAACATAAGACAGAACAAGTTACAAAGGACATACATGTACATGAAGACAATCAATTACTTAGAGATAATAAATAATTTAAACAAAGAGTACAAGTAGTCAATAGTAATGGAATACTTTACGTCATTCATAAAGCCTTTGATAAATCAAGGCTGTGTACCTGACGTTATACTCCGCTGAAATGGTAAAGTCTATTTCGTTATACTGCACACTGTGGACGTGATGCACGAATGGCGGAGTGTTGTCTATAATGTAGGGCGTGGTGTGACACACTGTCGTTGCCATGGCACCGCCGAACTCAACATTGTTGATTGCCCGAACTGTGATATGATACACTCCATCTAAGTGGAAGATACGATCTCCATTAGTATGGAAATTAAGTCCATAATCTTGCTGGAGTCCAGCAACATATGAAATATAATAATAATAATAATAATAATAATAATAATAATAATAATAATAATAATAATAATAATAATAATAATAATAATAATAATAATAATAATAATAATAATAATAATAATAATAATAATAATAATAATAATAATAATAATAATAATAATAATAATAATAATGCTTTTAGCAATTAATAAAACATACAAATCATACTGAAATAATAACAAGCTTGAAAATCAATCATAGAGAAAAAAATGAATTGGAGATCAGAGGTCAAATAAAAGAAATAATATGTATGAAGTGAAAGTAATAATTGATACTTTCTAATCAATACAAAATTAAAGTACCAAAACAGTAAACAAATATTTGAACTGACATAAATAATAACAAACAAGAGTTCCACGATCTCATACCTTCGCCAAAAAATGTTAACCCTTGCGGGTGACGAATTATACAATTTTAATCATGGATTTTGTAAATAAGAGCCTCATTTGCATGGATTATATCAGTTGATCATATTCTCCACCCAATGACAGCCTTATCATAACAAAAAGGCTATTATAGCACTTCCTCATAAATTATGCAAATGAGGTCATGATTTGAATAAATTATGTTTATTGATGTTCACCTTCACCTTCCAACTTCCAAATGTGGCAAGTATGAAATTCGGGGTGCAGCAGTTACAACTATGGAATTATAAGAATTTGCCATTAATTATTCAAATTAGGTCCTCATTTACATAATCTATATCCTCAGATGTTTTCCTCGTTCTCAAGTAGATGTCACAACTGTTTTATAGTTCTATTATCGAACAAATCAGATTCATAGAATTTCCTCATTAATTATGTAAATTAGCTCTTGATTTGCATAATTGCCATCTGATTATGTCAAGCATTACTTCAACTACCGACATACCAAAAATCACGACAATACGTCAACCGGTTCTTGAGTTATCGTCCTTCAATTTTTTTTCAACAAATGCTCCTGCAGTTCTAGAACAAGGCGCTAGGGGACCCAAACTTATGTCACTTTTTCCCTATCCCAAGAGCTATCTACCAACCAAAATTCGTGACCCTAGCATGTACAGAACATGAGATATCAAAACCGGAAGTTCAGCTGCAGTACCTAGGAAAGCCGCCAGGGGGCCCAAAATCTAATCATTTCTAGGTCTCATAAAGTCATACCCACCTACCAAGTTTCATTCCAATTCATCCACTGCTTCTCGAGTTATCTTGCTAAACCACACACACACAAACACACACACACACACACACAGACAAACGCTACTGAAAACATAACCTTCTTGGCGAAGGTAAAAATATGTGTCTTACTGTATTTAGATATTTAATTTTCGATATGTAATGGCAATGGCAATGCACGTTAAAAAAATGTAACCTTTATCTACATTTAAGTTATAACACTTTTACTTTTTTACAATTTTTTACAATACTACCACTTTTAAGAATAAAAATTGATCTGACATTTTACCTGCTAGATCCAGCGGACTCGCCAGACCTTCATGCGTCCATTCTGACACGTCGAACAGGTGCGCATGCGGGTCTATGTGGGGATGCACACTCTGGTCACAAGGGGTTCTCCCAGAGGTCCAGGAGTAACCATGGAGACCGGTCTCGTTGTCATGGAAACCATCCCAGTTTGCTGCATGTGAAATATTAAACATATCGGGATGTTTGTTTAACACCTTTTCACCTCTCCAAAATATCATACTTTTTGAACTCGTAATTCAATCATTACATGTCATGATGCATTGTCCAACGTACTAATTCTTGAAGCCTAGTTTGAGATATAGCCGCTCTCCTGGCTATAGTGCATCGGAATCTGGAAACAATAATAAACTCCGCTGAACTATACATTGTAACATAAAAGAAGCATCCTATGATGATATTTCTATGCTGTGCTAACCTGACACATATCTGTTAGCGCGAGTGTACCGCATGTCCACCAGTGGCTCGTGTCCATTGAACACAGTGCGGGATCCCTCTCCGTCTACCATCCATCTAAGAAAAAGGAGGAAAAAAATAATCAGTTAATTTTTGAATGGACACGGTCTCAATAGTCTCAAAACGTGTGCATCATGTCAGTCAAGCCTCGATCACAATCCGCCGTACGTGCTTTTTGTCCGTACGTTTTTTGGGAGGCTACGTACGTCCGCTACGTTTTTTTCTGAAGGAGTGGCGTCGACGAACGCCACTCGCACGTCACTTGCACGGTTGCGCAAGGTGTAAGAGTGTGGTCTGCACGCCACGTCTGGCCGTGAGCGGTAGCGTGGATCGTACGTTGCGCAAGTGGTAAGTGAGCTGCATGTGCTTACAACGTACGATCTTTGTGCGATTGCAACTTTACCGTAAGGAGGTCGTACTCACATGTGCTTCTTCCGTACGGCACGTACGGGGCACGCGCATCGCTCGTACTCGCACGCACGGGTGGTGAATCCGCAGACCGCACGTAGAAAAAGGTTAACATGCACTTAAAGTTCTACGGCATGTCTGCGTGCTCCCAAATTCGCAGGATTCAGTACGGAGGCGGTACTCACCACGCACGGATGCCCTACGTTTGTCCACGTTTTTGCACGTAGACAGCACGCAGAAGCACGTACGGCGGGCTGTGACCGTAGCTTCAGTCAGGTTTAAGAAATATAACTGGGATCAGATTTTTTGCAAAAATCACATGGTTTGGCGCACTTGGAAATACGCTGTACATAGTATTTATATGGTTACCTGAGAGTTGGTTTATCAACAAGTCATGTTTGGGGCACTCTTTTTTACAAAATGGGGCCGGCTGGGAAGTTAACGTGCTGTTTTAAATCATTTGACGTGGCCCCGTGGACCTTCTACGGCTGCTGGGATCTTTGACGGCACGGATTTTTAAAACCTTTTAGTTAAAAGCAACACAGGGCCGGCTGCCAAAAATACGCCGACTGTCCATTGGGCCATTTTTTTCACAATACTGATCAGCTGTGCAGAACGACGTTTCCGGGAGCCCACCGGAACACCCCTGTTTTGTCCCAAACTGTGCCCGTCCCCCCCGCAAATAATTTCATCAGGTTTGAAGATACTTAGGGTATAGAGTTTTCTTTATACATTCTCGCCGCAAAAGCGCCACCTCCTTTGGCGTTAAATAGCGGCGTGTTGCAGAACTCCAGTCAGAAGCTCTGAGGAAGGTGTCTGATAGACATCGAAACGTAAGCAGGTGAGAACCTCCCTGGTTGTGTATAAAGAAAACTCTATACCCTATGTGCCCGTCCCATTCCGTACCTGACCGGGCACAGAACAGGACACAGCCTGGCTGTCCAGAACCGTGCCCGGAAGTGCTGTCAATCATAGTGATTGGCGGAAACCTAAGCATAATTATTCACGCCCACGATTTTTTATATGGCTAGATTACGTGAGATTTTGCGAGTCTGTGTACAGCATGTGCTTTCAAAACGCAGTTTTCCCACAACTTAGTTTTATGTTTGGTCGATATGAACTTAGATAATAATAATAGAGAGAGACTAGTTAGTACAAGAAAGAAACTCGGTCGGGAAACATGTTATGAGAACTATGTTCAGTCCCCTAGCATGGGGCAAGCTTAAATGATGTGTGGCCAGAACTGTGTGCGGTCAGGCACGGTTCGGGACAGTCCCCGCGTGTTACAGAATGTAGATTTTCCCCGGGCATGGTTTGGGACACAACAACCCCAGCCTGTATCCTCCCGTAATTGTACCCTAACCACTATATAGTATCAGGGAAAATAAAGGGAAAAATAGAAGGCTTTAACCGTTAATTAAATACCTGTGGTTAGGCAGGGGCGTCTGTTCTCCACACCTGAACTGTTCCCAGTGATCCAGGACGAAGTCCTCACACGCCTCTGGCATCAACACGTCCATGATGACGTTCTGTAGTGGGCCGGGGCTGGGAGGGGTGAAGTCTGCCAGAACTCCGCGGGACGTCAGGATGTTGACGTACCCTGGGTGGGAAAAAACGCAGTACACCAGCTAATAGCGTCTCCTTCTAGATGCCATAGTAAGAATTATATATACTTATTGCTAGGGGCCTTGTTGTGCTGAGTCTCATGTTGGGTAGTTGTGAAGTAGCAAATAAATGAAGGTTATAAATATATTGTGATAGAAAGTGTCCTTTATTTGACGCCCTAAGCTTCTGCTTACAAAATTGCACAGAAATGAAATACTGTCCGAATGAAACAAGAAGTGACGCACATTTTACTGGTATACCACACGTAACCGCTAATGGACTATTACAAAATATCCCTTCTCCATTGGAAAGGGCTCATGATATCTTACAGTTGTGCATCTTCTTATTAGCGTTAGTCCACTTCAAGTCACCAAGTATTTGAGTCACACATCGCCATCACCCAACTAGCCACTCTTTGCCCTGATTAGCTGTTGTTTTTAAAGCTTTTCTTTCTTTTCCGAAAAATACAGCATCAGTGTGTCACCGCGGATTGAGCACCAGCTAAGGCGTTGAGTTATAAACCGTGTCATTAATATGTTATGCATTTCATAAAAAAAAACATATTCCGTACCTAGCGCATTGTTAAGATACAAGTTGAAGTAGTATAGTACATCATGCGTCAGCTGCAGGTCTTCATGTTTGAACTCCACAGCATGACCGACACCAAGTCGTTCGAAATTGTGGAAGTGACCAACCTGCAAACAAAGCATTCAGACGTTTTGACCTAAAAGTGTTAACTGTTACAACCTGTTTTACATTGTTATTTGCTAACCATTATTTTCTTAATATCCGTACTAGGCCGGCATGTTATAATCTTCTATATTGTACAAAAAATAACGGTAGTACACTAGTAATTTGTTGGCTGTACATTGACCACAAGATTTGAATATCTACACGCAATCATATAATTTAATAGAATAGGTTGACCAATCTCACCTAACTTATTCACAAAAAGATGCTGACCTGCTACCAAAAATATACGTAATTGCATACCCAGTGAAAAACATACAAAAGTTCTGCATCCTCACATTTGGCCATGACCGTTCTTTCAAGATTCAAGATTCAATTCAAGATTCAAGATGGATTTATTGGTTCTTCGCAGTTAAAAACAACTGAATTGTAAACCAATTTACAAAACATTAGTATATTAAAAACTACAGGTTTGCAATCAATATAGGCGTACGATTAACAAACCAATAAAAATACATGTTCCATACATTATAAATTTCCTGGACAACATTTGATACAGAAACAGTGTACTACATATTAGAAAAACAACAGTCAGGGGTTCAGTCCATAGTTATTGAGGAGCTGGACCATAAACGGTATGGGCGAGTTCTTGTATCTATTTGTTCTTGCTCTCGGACAGTTATTTGTGATCTCTGTGGAGGTAGCCAATCTCTGTACTCAGACCTCACAAGTGTCCTAGCAAACTTCACACACAACTTTCCCTAGACCTATCCACATATCAAATACAATCGTAACATAATCAAAATCTACAATGGCTTACCTTACTTATTCTGACCGCAAATATGCGACAACTCAGCCAAACGGACAGTCACCGCACTGAACATCTCGATACTCTGTTTTCAAAAGTCTATTCAACACCCTGCGTACCTCGTGCATCTTCACGCCATGCCCCTCTATCTCCTCCAGCAGTTCACACGTTCCGTGTCCGTAATCATAGTTGAAGCTGAGACATTTAGCCGGTGGATGTTTCATACACTCCATGGCGCACTGCTGTGGAATGTCTACCCTCAAACTAGCAACCGGAGTGGAGATCACTCGTCCCGTCCTTCCACCTTTTAAGAATAAAAAGGCGTACTTTAAAAAAACTAAGATCACAAATAGCAAGTCATACTTGCAAGCAAGACAGACGTAGAATGTCCAGACTGTGAATGATGTACAAAATGACTAATAAATGGTGGACGTGCCAACCACTAAGTATCTGATACCAGTTCAAAAAATAACAAGAAACAGTCATGCCTTCAAATATCAGACTTATCAACCAAGAATTGAAGTATTCAAAAACTTGTATTTCCCCAGAACTATCGTAAACTAGAACTCGTTGCAACCAAGCACAGTTGGGGCATCATCACTAGAAAGCTTTAAACAACTCCTGCAATATAATGTGCAAAGATTGAGTCTAACAAGCCGTTCGGTGTGATATAGCTAGCTGCCGCCGCGCCGCGTGCCTGCAAAGCTGGTGTGTTACGCCGAAGGGCGGTTATACTGGCTTTACCGATACAGATACAGAACTGATACTAACTATAACTTGCTATTTGTGATCTGAGCTTTTTTTTAAATACAGATATGAAGAAATCTGCAATATCATAACTCTCGAGAAATTTTTCATGTATCATTATGCCTGAGTACCTGTGAAACTCTGTAAAGCAGACCCGGCAGCACTCACAGCCGTGTTCACGGTTGTACTGACGTCATGCCACTGCACAACCTGGTCTCCGTACACTTTCCTGCCATATCCAACACCTTCCTGAATAAGTTAACAAAAAAGATACTTACGTGTAAGGTTATTCACTCATGTTATCAACTAACTAGTTAATCAGTATGGAAAGAAAATCTAAAACCTTAGCTTGGTTCTGGATTAAACACGCTTCTGGATACAACTATATAGCTACGTACAGCGGTATCTATTTCGAAAATCTGCGAATAGCCTGTGTCTGTGATTCTGTCGCACACTGCGCTATGTGTCATTTTGTGGAATCATACTTAAGAAATGTTGATGTGACGTTGATGAAATGTTCTTACTCGTTTAAGAAGAATGGCGGAATCGTCGTGAGCCAAAGCTGACGCGCGGAGGATGCTGGGATGACTTGTGCTCAGGAAGTCAGGGGTAACCCGCCCTCCAGGTAAGGTGACGTCATAAGTGGGCAGTTCACAGGTGATCTTGGCGGTTCCTCCGCCAGAGTTTGTCCCCGTGACGGTGAAATAGAGCGGCACACCTCCTTTCATTTTCTAGATATGACCCAAATTGAGCTTTTGAGCAAAATAGCTCTGCATCTGATACAATGTATAATATATCAGCCGTTTAATAAACAATTTCAGTTCGGTGAATGCATGCTTGATTTTAAGTACAGACTCTGCATCTGCCTCTAGGAAGTGTTTTGTTGAGCTAATGTGCTTAAATGGTCCATTTTTATTTACCTCAATGTTCACCTTAAAGCAATCTATCATACGACTTACATCTTTTTGGTTGCACTAACGAACTTTACCTGTTCGAAAGTTGTGAAAACTAAAAAAAAAAGACTAAAGATCAATACCTTAAAAATGACATTTGACGGTCCTCCAAGTGCTTCATTCCTCACTACGTCATGTCCACCCCTGTACGTCCCGACATCGTACGTCAGCTTCACCTGGCTCTCGTCATCTTCGGCGGCGACCTCCAGCTGAAAGGCGGGTTCTACAACGTCTCTACCTGCGAGCTGCTGGACTTCACAACGTGTGGTGATGGCGGCCCTCCTCCCAACGGAAGTTGCTGCCTGTTGGAAAACGACGTTAAAGCGACAGACGAAAATCATTATCTATTTATTTTTATTCCGAAACATGTAATCACAAGAGGTGGTGACGACACACTCAAGTTTTTTCAAGTATTTAAATTAAAGTTTTTTTCTTATATTAATGCCGGCACCAACACAGGGACAGTACAATACTCATTTACACCTGGGCGAAGTGAGGAAAGTCGTGTAAAGTGCCTTTTCCAAGGGCGCAAGATCGGTGGCATGTCAGGACTCGAGCCCGAGGCCTCTGGTTCCGAGTCGAGAACGCTGCCGCTGCGCCACACGACCCCACGAAAATCATTATTGAAGGTTATAAATATGCTGTGATAGAAAGTGTCCTTTATTTGACGCCCTACTCATATGCTTACAAAGTTGCACAGAAACAACAAGAATTCCGAGACCTCATACCTCCATGAAATATGGGCTTGATATGTAAATGTAAATTTCCTCTTTAATTATGCAAATTACCTCCGCATTAACATGATATATGCATCGTGATGTATGTTAACTTTTGATTAACTTAGAGATGTCCCAAGTATGACATTCTTATTATTCACAATTAAGAAATCATAGAATTTTTGCATAAAGTAAGCAAATTAGGTCATCATTTGCATAATTAGTATCTGTTAATGTTCTGCCTGCCATAGGTTACATACATTACATGTATGAAAGTACTATAATGTAAAACACTGTAATTATAGAATTTCCTCATTAATTATGCAAATAAAGTCTTCATTTACATAAGTTGCATTTAATTATGTACATCTCTCTCTCAGCTACCTACACACCAAAAATTATGAAAATATGTTGTTCCTATCTGGACTTATTGGCTTTTGAACATTTCGCCAGAAAGTGTCCTGCAGTTCCAGAACAAGCTGCTAGGGGACCAAACTCACACCACTTATTCCTGACAGGGAAAGCTATCTGTCACCATAAAGTCAAGACCATAGCATGTTCAGGATAAAAGATTCAAACACCGGAAGTTCTGCTGCAGTACCAAGGTCATCCACCAGGAGGCCCATATTTAACCTTGACCTTTGTCTTCCTATGACTTACCAACATACTAAATATCATCATAATCCATAAAGGCGTTATGAAGTTATGCTGACTACAAATGTGCGGAAACACAAACACACACACACACACACACACACACACACACAGAGAGAGAGGGAGAGAGAGAGACACACAGACAGACACGTCAAAAACAATACCTCCATTTTTCATGCAGATAACAATACTATAAAGATAGAGAGAGATTGTCGACACATTTCGACAGTTTATCAGGAACGTTTTTGCTGAAATATATAGGTAAGTGCGTCGTACTTTCCAAAAGATACATAATGTCTCACTAAGGAAATATCAAACTCTCAGAAGAAAAAATGCCTATAGCAAATTCAGGTTTTATAAAGTGTGATAGATTAAGGCTATGTTGATTTCATTATACGGATGGCATCCGCGCCCGAATTCACCATGCCAGTAAAATATGATTATTCTGTGTGTTTAGTCATTTGTTTAACCTTCATGACCACTTAAATTTCATAATAGGGCAACTTTTTGTGCCAAAATTTTCTATTCACACGCTCACATCAGTTCTAGGGTTCCCATGGCCAAGAGGATGTCATCCGTATAATCAAACCAACATGGCCTAATGTATCAAAATTAGTTCTTACGTCTAATTTGAAGTTCCTAAAAGTAGGTGGAGAAAGGTCTCGCTCTGGAAGACCTGTGTTGAAGATGTTCGCTGTGACAGGAGGCGTCTCATAATGCCACATCAGGATGTTGAGTAACGTAACAGGTGGGAGGAAGGGGATTTCACTTACTAAAAGCCCACGGAGTTCCAGTCGTAGTGGAATCATGACCATATCCATCCGTGCACTATAGTTGTAGAACAGGAACGTTGTGTATAATATGCAACATGGTAATGTAAGTCTTTATATCAAGGTAAATTTTAATAAAACTCCAATCTCATTACGAATCTAGATCTAGATCTGCCCTTACGCAGTAAGCACAGCTTTCCTACTTCTTTAGAACACCGATATGGGCACCCTACATTATAAAACGGCATGTCTACGTGTAGCCCAATCAATGTAAAACTCTGTCGTTAAAATCTTTTATCAAAATGTATTAAAACTATTCCATCACATTTAGATGTTGAATATATTGATATTTTATACATAGGTCATGCAAAAAAGTTTTCTAACCCGATAGTCATCGGAAACTTGCTGAATCCAATTTCTGCCCTTGTTGGAAAGTCAGTTGTCAGGACATGTCCATCTAACCGCAGCTCTGCACTCAGGAGCAGCAACCAGACACCGAGACTTGCACTAACAATGGCACCGACTTGTGGGGTTACTTGGCCCTGTAAAGATATATTAAACATACAATCATATCGCCATTAACCCACATAAAAATCTGAATGTTTACTGGATTATTTTCAAAGTAATGAATGTATATATTAATCAATGTATAACCAAATAGATTGAGTTTACGCATTGTAAACGAAAAAAAATTCGTAATGTGTATTTGTAACTTTTGTTTGTCGGTGTTTATTCTAATGTGATATTTTATACTCATGGAAGCTACCACAGTCCCCGATACTCCAGATGAGGATGGGACAAGGTGAATGGTTGAAAGATAAGTAAATATCAACTTACATAGGCTGTCATTTTCATCAGAGATACTCCAGCCTCCAATTTAACGCCGAGACTTCCACCAGCTCCAAAGCCTTCGACAAAGTAGTATTTATTAGTAGGGGACAGAAATATTCATAGTCTCCATACAGTCAAATTAAGGGATGGTTTGCTATCACTGGAATGTACATATCAATCAATCAATCAATCAATCAATCAATCCATCAGTCAATCAACCAGTCAATCAATCAATCAAATGGCTCATTTGTGAAACCAAACAAGAACTTGTAGCCATTGGCTAAATTGTGTCTTGCTGTACAATTTGCTTTCTTAGTTACACGCTAATTACCTAAGGATAGCAAATTCAAGTTCATCATTAAAACAGTCTATGACATAATTATATGAACTACTAACATTTACAGTATTATACATGGTAATAACAGGAATAGAGGAAAGACTAAACATCCTAGTTAGCCGCCATAACATAGTTATGAAAAGTTGTATGTGCAAATTATAGTAGTACGTCAATATTCGGGTCATTTTGCGGGATAGGTGATTTTGACTGGCATTTCCTGTGTTTTTATAGTAAAGTAGTCAAGTCTTACCCAGGTACATAGGAATCGGTCCAACCATGAACTGAACTTTGACATTGAAGAACGTTTTGTCCCATGGTCCCATAGGAAATGTCCCCGTCAAGTAACCGTCAGCCATGCCCAGCTCTATCCCCAAGTCCTTCATGTCTGACATCAAGTCGAACAGCTTAAAAAAAAAACATTAAAAGAACTAGAAAGGCCAATATTTGCTTTGGAGCAAATACAGCGATGGGTTCACCACATTTTACCACATGGCAGGGAAAGAATGAGAAACACAAGGGAAAACAATGATTTACCAGGTTTCTAGCTAGGATTTTATTTTAGCGCTGACCTGACGCACGTCGAGGGAGCGAAGCTGATTGGCTGTTGGGATTTAACTTGATTAACACCTGCACAGAGCATTTCCACCTGCACAGAGCATTTCTTGCTGATTGGCTGTTGGGATTTAACTTGATTAACACCTGCACAGAGCATTTCCATACTGACAGTATGTCTTTATTCAAGTGTTTTGGTAGGTATTTCAAGCTTTTCTGCTCCAGCATTGGAATGCGGGACATGAACGTTTTTTTATTTATTTTGAAAATCAACAGTTTGCATTATGCAATTAAAAACCCTAACCAATAAAGTAGGGAATAGCTATCCAACTGTTGTTTTAGTTGTATGTTACTTCATATTATAGTTATATCAATGTAAATCATTGTTTTCCCTTGTGTTTCTCATTCTTTCCCTGCCATGTCGTAAAATGTGCTGAACCCATCGCTGTATTTGCTCCAAAGCAAATATTGGCCTTTCTAGTTAGTATTTTAGTTTCTAAGTACAAATATACATACTTATTTGATGTAATGAAAAAATAGCTTTTCTAAAAACAATTTTTTACATTTTTTGTGGCTAAAAGGCAATCGATGTAAGGAATCTCCTACTCTTACACCGTTATGAAATACACAAAAAAGTTTTAACTACTATTTACATCCATTTCTAACTACTTTAAAAAAAACTGTTATTTTACGTAAGATGATGATAATACAATAAACGTCATGGAAGTTTCGTAAAATGTGAAATAATGTATGAATGTTTACAACATTTCCATTATGGGTTAACATCAAATCATTCTATGTGTAATAATCAACGCAAGCTATAAAATGTTGTTTGTCAGTAGCATAAAATTACTCACCAGAGGTTTAACAGCTTCTCTGATTGAGTTGATAATAATGGAAAATTCCCTAGATAGTGCGCTAAAATCCAGAATAGGAAAATCCAGATCAGGAAAATCCAGATCAGGAAAATTCAGATCAGAAAGACAGCTGCCGGGACGGAAGAAAAATATTTCTTTCCCCAATTGTGCCAAAGTCATCTCCATCAGGTTCACTGTAAAATATAATCACGATTATTGGTAAGGAGACAGCATGTAAATCTTATGGAGGACATCTTCCGCAGACTCCAAATCTAATGCGAGCGGGTGAAAAAAATTGCAAGGCGGACTAAAATAACATGATAACTACATTTTCGAATGTTGAAATCATGTTGACGTCAAACAAGAAATGATACCCATATTGTGCTGAGTTTACTGCCAACGATTACAACATCCATTTCTCAATGAAATAGCTTTAAAAATTTAATCATTGTACAAATGGTTTTAATTTAGTTGGAAAATCACATATACACAGCCACGTTCAAATATAAAAGTAACAAGAATTCTGAGACCTCAAACCTCCATGAAATATATGTTTTTGTAAATGTTTTTTGTCACATTGACTATGGAAATAAGGTCATAATTAGCACAATCTAGTTCAATTTATGGTTTTCTAAATATTTTAAATGTAAAATTTCTCTCCTTTGTCATACTTTATTTCAACACATCCTCATTACTTATGCAAATGACCTCTACATTAACATAATATAGGCGTGGAGATGTTAGCCTTTAAGTAACATACACGTCAAAGAATTTCCCAATTATGCAAATTAGGTCAAATTTGCATAATTGGTATCTTTTGATGTTCCATTTGCCATAAATTACATACATTACACGTACGCGGTTCCTATAAATCTTCCTCATTAATTATGCAAATTAAGCCCTCATTTGCATAATTTGCATTTAATTATGTGCAACTTTCCCTCAGCTACCTACACACCAAAAATGATGAAAGTACGTTGTTCCTATCTGGACTTATTGGCTTTTAAAAATTTCACTCGAAAGTCCCCTGCAGTTCCAGAAGAAGCTAATAGGGGGACCAAACTTACACCGCTTATTTCTTACAGGATAAGCTATCCGTCACTAAAAATCAAGACCATAGAATGTTCAGGACAAAAGATACAAAAACCGGAAGTTATGCTGCAGTACCAAGGTCGGCCACCAGGAGGCCCATATTTGCCCATATTTGATCTTAACCTTTGTCTTCCTAAGACCTACCAATGGACCAAATATCATCACAATCCATAAAGGCGTTCCGAACTAATTGTGCGGAAACACAGACACACGAACACACATGCGCCAAAAACAATACCTCCATTTTTACCTCCATGGAATGGAAGGTATTGTTTTTGGCGCGTCTGTGTGCGTGTGTGTGTGTGTGTGTGTGTGTGTATGTGTGTTTGTGTTTCCGCATTTTTGAACCTTCATAAGTCCATAACGCCTTCATGGACTGTGGTGATATTTGGTATGCTGGTAGGTCTTAGGAGGGCGAAGGTCAAGGTCAAATATGGGCCTCCTGGTGGATGGCCTTGGTACTGCAGCAGCACTTCCGGTTTAAGGTTGAGTCAGGACATGGCTGAGAGGAATCTCCTTTATACTTGCGAGGCAGTGTAACAGATGTGGCTATGCCCAGCGAGGCAGCGCGCTCCCTCAGGGGAATAGGTGACCTATTTCAGGGCAAATGTGGCAGTGCCACTGTATGGCTGTGTGTTTGAAAACAAACAACCTGTGTTATTACCTCCATGAAAATGGAGGTATTGTTTTTGTTGCGTCTGTCTGTCTGCCTGTGTGTTTGTGTCTCCGCACATTTGCGGCCAGCATAACTTCATAACGCCTTTATGGATTGTGATGATATTTGGTATGCTGATAGGTCTTAGGAAGATGGTGGATGACCTTGGTACTGCAGCAGAACTTCCGGTTTTTGTATCTTTTGTCCTGAATATGCTATGGTCTTGATTTTTTGGTGGCAGATAGATTGTCCTGTCAGGAATAAGTGGTGTGGGTTTGGTCCCCCTAGCAGCTTGTTCTGGAACTGCAGGGGACTTTCGGGCGAAATCTTTAAAAGCCAATAAGTCCAGATAGAAACAATGTATTTTCATCATTTTTGGTATGTAGGTAGCTGAGAGAGAGATGTACATAATTAACTGCAAATTATGCAAATGAGGATTTAATTTGCATAATTAATGAGGAAATTCTATAATTACAGTGTTTTGCATTATAGTACTTTCATACATGTAATGTACTAGTATGTAATCTATGGCAGATGGAACATCACCAGATACCAATTATGCAAATGATGACCTAATTTGCATAATTAATGCGAAAATTATATGACTCCTTAGTGGTAAATGATGGGAATTTCATACTTGGTACATGTGTAAGTTAATCAAAAGTTAACATCACGATGCATTTATTATGTTAATGTGGAGGTAATTTGCATAATTAAAGAAGAAATTAACATTTACATGTCAAGCCCATATTTCATGGAGGTATGAGATCTCGGAACTCTTGTTCATGGAGGTAATAATAGTCTTCTCTGAAGTAAAGTAAAAGGCAAAACTTTGGATTTGAGCCTCGTTGTGTCTCCCCTCTCTCCACATTTATCTAAAATCCATCATCCGACATGGCAACAGAGATCATTAATTTTCGGCATGTTGGCCACTGTCAGAGGTCAACTTTTTTTCTCCAAAATCAGGTGGAAAATTATTTGCTCTTAAACTACTTGTTGTGGCCTAATAACAAACTACTTCTTAACTTTCGAACGATTGCACTTGCAACATTATGCAACAAATCCATTAACTGATAAAAGTCAATTAATAATAAAGATACTGAAAAACTGTCACCATTTCAATTGATTTTATCACCCGCTTTTTTAGATTTGCCACAGAAAGGTCTGTTGGACAAACTTTGTTTACCTCGGCTTAACTAGTTTACTTCTTATTATCTCTTATAAGTTATGCTTGGTTTTTGCAACATCATGTTTTTTTTTACTAATTTTGGTTAAAACCTATGACGTTCCCAACTTAGGTGTAATAAGAATTGACATCGGAATGCATGTACTGCCTATTGCTTTGTGCAAGAGTAAAATTATATATCAAAATTATATATTAAAGCATATTTTGAAATCCTATGTGTCAGTTACAATTGTTTCGACAAGAGTCTCATGTGTTACCTCGACCTCCATTAGAAGATTGGGTGAGGCCTCCACTCGAGCAAGAAGGGATATCGATTTGAACACCCTTCAAGATTTCCAGTGATGGCAGACAAAGGTCCTCGGCGCAAACCCTAACAGAAAGATATATCTGCGGAAGCAATATTAAAAGATGTGTTAGTAAAGCTCTGTTGCATACAACAGTACATCACTGAATTTTTATTTCAGCCCAGACACGGAATTTTCTTCATGTTTCTTATCGTCATACCTCTGCCAGTTCTGCTTTAAATTTCTTCATTTTTGTGCCAAATGACCAGCAATTTATATCGAAAGAAGAGTGGACGAATATCCTCAGGGGATTTTCTTATATTTATACAAGCATTAGTATAATAATTTTTATTATTTACCATTTTCCGATAATATCTGTACGTTTGGGGTGCTGGCGACGTGATATGAAATTCAGTATGGTCGTTGCAATTGCTGAATATGAGGATTTTTTGCCCGTTTTCATGTCCAAATGTACGGTATTGTGGGGTGTGACTTAGCACAATGGAATTAAGAGCAAGATCCAATTGGCATGCATCCATATACTTGGTTACAAGCTGTGTCATTCTTGCTGATTGCATTGGCTGTTGATAAATTAGTTTAACTTTATGTGCTTTTAATACAAGCACATGGGTTTATCTTTTTGGGCCAAATGACCGGCAGTTTGCAGTCTACAAGTATGTTGGCTACATGGGGATTTTGAAAACACCTAATACAAAAAAGCACTACATGGGAACTTTGCAAATACTTGCGTTACTGTATGCAAGTTTCAAGAACATTCTACTGAAAAGCATTGTATGGGTAATTTGGGACCACATTGAAACACTTATATACTGAAGAGCACCGCATGAAAAATATTGACCTGGAACAGTACATTTTGGAACGATGAGAGACTTGGAGTGAAATATCGTATTTACTCTCGAGCAAATGGCTGCCTTAAGTATCTACTTATAATATACAATGCTGCACATTGCCAATTTCAATGGTCCTTTATTAACAACACTAACACACCATTTTCTTTTGCAATGCATAAACAGCTAAAATAACACACTACCTCACTTACGTTTTGAAATCATGAATCAACTAATCGTATTTCTTCAACAGGTTAATGAAAAGTAGATTTTACCTCCACAAATGAACTCCTTCTCTTGATTCTGAAACTTCTCTGAAGTTTCACTGAATCCAAAAGGGTCCACGACTTGTCAAAACTGAAGTCATCCTCTTCAGCTGATAATTATATAAAGTAGGTTGCAGTCACATCCTCAAACACCTTATTCGTATAATGATATAATGATATGAATGTGATTGTATTCTTGCCATGATATAACAAGCAAAACACACCTTACTTCTAGTGTTGCACAAGATGATGCGATTTTCTAACTTAGCGAATGAGATGATGTTTTAAGAGATCCATACTGTCATTGTAGTTGCTAATAGTCTAAAGTTTATCAAACATTGCAGTGTTTTCATGAAGTGCAGACTGATTGTACGCACACATACCAAACATACACAACATACCAAATCCATGCGGGAATAAGTTTTTCGTCTCCTTCATCGGTCCAAGTTCCATCGTCAGAATCATGGTGCAGGGATCCAGGCTCACAGAAGCCCTGACGCTGAAGAGGTTGAACGGCGGTACGGAGATGGACAGGCAGCAGCTGAGACCGAGACAATTATCTTGCATACGGCAGTGTATGGAGTCGAGCTTGTTGAGCTTCTCGAAAATGCCAGGACATTCTATACACAAAACATGAAGATGTATAAATAAAGTCAGATTTGCATAATTTACGTTTAGCGATGTTAACCTTTGTTGTTGGAATCTCCTATCGATGCGACAGATGTGTAGGCGTACAGGTCATCATTTGCCGAGGTGGGTCCTCATATGGGAATAAAGACCAATTTTGGACGCACATGAGCGGCAGCAGATGCTGCATGGGAAAGGACTGAACAGGGACGGAGCATCGTTTCCTCCTCTCTTTG